TTATCGTGTTACATAGCGCGCACAGCTGTAATGCGTCAAACTCAACACCTGTTTGTGCATTATAGAGATGCATCTGCAGGTCGCCCGTTATCCACCCAGCGCTTGTCACACTGGCTGTGTGAGGCCATTTCTGAAGCCTGCAAGCATCAGATTTAGAGCCTCCTGTCAACCTCAAAGCACACTCAACCAGGGGTATCGCATCTTCGACTGCTCTGCATAATGGTATGTCAATGCAGGACATTTGCACTGCGGCTGCGTGGTCAACACCCTGCTCATTTATTCGCTTTTATTTACGTGATGTGACGGCCCGTTCCATGACACATTCTGTCCTTAGTGCTCTAACAGAATGAATATTGTTGTTTTTCATGGAACTCTGTTTAAGCTCACATCTGTCTGCATGCTTCACAGTGTGAGATGTTATCAGTCACAAGTTGTGTCTGTGTTTTTGGTTCTATTGTCACTAATCAGTTCATGACTATTGTTACCAATCAGTTCATTTGATCAATAATCAGTTCATTGTTTTTTGATCTGTTTATAATACTCAGCCATGAACCAGTTGGTTCATGCCCCCCCCCCCCCCCTTTCTTCTTTTCAACATCCTTTCCCCGTTGAAAATTTCCTGGGCGTTTATGTTTTTGTCAGTACGCATAGTTACACAACATGCGTCTGTGCATGGCACATAATTACGCAACGCGTAGTTATGCACACGGGGAGCTGAGTGAAAAGACGTTTTTTGGGCAAGCTTCCGCGTCAAACTGTGTTCGAATGGACCCAGTGAGGCGAGGACCACATCGGCTTCGCCCTTTACCCACTAAAGCGAAGGCCTTAAAGGGCGAAGCTTATACGACACAGAACGTTGGTTACGTACTGTAACCCCAGATTCTATGAGTATAAGCGTAGCCCTTTAAGCGTCGGGCCTCACTGGCTCCTAAATTGCTGAAGAAAAAAGCTATTTTGGGAGCCGATTTCCCGCTCTTAACGTAATTTATACGAACCGGGTGGGGCCCACACAGCAGGTGGGCGTGGACTAAATTTTTTTCAGTGCTTATGCTGCGCATAACGGGATAAACCCACTAAAGCGAAGGCCTTAAAGGGCTACGCCTATATTCATAGAATCTGGGGTTACAGTACATAACCAACGTTTTCTTACATAAAAACAAACATAATTTCCAGTTCAAAGACCAGTTTCAAACCAGTGACACGTCGGTGTCTAATGTTCACTGCTACACACTGAGGACCTTTTCACTGAACAGTTTTTCTTCAGAAACATCAACATGTCTGTTTTCTGTGGACACAAATAAGCCCAGTCCTGGCTGATGGTGTCTCCAGCAGTAGAACATGTTCACTCTGAGGCTGTAGATGATGATTGTTGCACACACAGAGACCTGGTTGTCAGTTTGACATAGTGTCCCTCACATCCCACCAGCAGGTCACTGGATTCACTGAGGTAGGGATGATGCAGACATCTGCACCTCTGTGTCTCTGCCTGAATCTTCTCTGTGGCTCTCTGGGGTTTAGGGCTCTGATCATCTCCCTAATTGACATTAGAACAAAACATCAACAATAACATAGTTGTGTTATTATTACTCAAAAAACATCATCTAGGCTGAGAGATAAAGGTTTAACTGGTCAACAAAATCCTTTAAAGTTTAATTTACCTCCACCATGCAGCTCCACTGTGGAAAAAGGCAGAAATTTTTTAACAACAAAGTCTGATTGTCCTGTGGCCCCCACCTCACTTTTCTTTTGTCCTCACATCTGGGTCAGAACCTCCTGTGAGGAGAACATGAACATAAACAGTGAACATTAGTGAACTGTTTAAGCAGCTGATCCAATGGATGAACACAGTTTTACAAGCTAACCTTGATCTGTTACTGTCAATCTTTAGTTAGCTTCTTAGTTTAGCTAGCTACGTAGATAAAAATAAATGTACACACTAATATTTTAAAGTTAGCGTTACATGGATCATAGTTTATTTCACCGCGATGTACGTGTTAAGCTGCAGTTACGCTAACAAACGTAAACTCACCAGCTGAAGCACACAGAGCCGTCCTCGGAGTTCTTTGATGAAGAGTCCGGTCATGGAGATAATGAATCAGGACGTTCAGGCTCTACTCACAGGCTGACTTTAATGGTGAGAGGAGGAGGAGGAGGGGGGAGGAGGAGGGGGGAGGCTAATGAACTCTTCTCTCCTCGCAGAAAAACACGGAGCAACTTTATGCAGCGCGTGTTGTCGAAGCCGTTCGACAACACGCGCTGCACACGCGAACCCATCGGTGGGCGTCACCAGCACCATAGACATAATTATACATAGATTAGGTACGGCAGCTCTATACAGCTCTGGATGTATGCTGGTGAAGATTCTCAGTCATCCAGGACATGATGAATTCAAAAAGTGTTCAATACAAAAACAACTGGACTTTATTTGTAACAGAAGACGTTTCGCTCCTCATCCGAGGAGCTTTCTCAATTCAAAGAGCAGAGAGTGAGAGATACAGGTTATAAGGCTGAGTGAGATAAGACACACACACACACATATATGTAGATTGGCAGTTCACACCTAAAAACCTAAACAGTAGGTCTTTGTTCCTCTAATTCACAGTCGAGGCCCCTCTGTTCCCATCAGGTGTGAAAACCGGCTGGGAATCTGTCTTAAAGTTGCATTATATGTTTTGAAAGTGGAAATCTGAGGCCTCCTCCTCTGTTAAGAGACGGCTTTTCTCTTTTTACATAAATTGCTTCCTTCGCCCCCCTCTCAAACCATCTGTGTTCTCAGTCCAAAATGTGCACATTTTGGTCCTCAAAAGAGTGTCCCTTATCTATCCCTTATCTAAGAGTGTCCCTTAGCTCTGGATGTAATCTGGGTGTAGTCTGTTTGTCATAAGTCTGGTATTTTGCCTGCCTGCATGCTGAAACCACGGGACACGTTACAGCCAATACCGAAACTTGACACCGAAAGAAGAGTGACATTTCAATACATACACCGACCGGTGAAGTTCGGTCGGTACCATAAAAGAACCTCGGTTCGGTACTCAGCCCTATCTGGATGGTTTCTTTTGTTGAAACGTTTCGTCTTTCATCCAAAATACTTCATCAGTTTGAGGAGCCACAACAAACTCAGTTTTATAAATAGTACCTTCACATAGTGGGTCAGCCATTTTGATGGAGCTCAGATTGTTTCTGGAGTCCACCCTCTCTGCCACCGACTCGTTTGAGGCACTCACGGCCAAAGTGGTTCAAAACATCCTGATTCCTGCTCCATCAGGATGGTTGGCCTGGTCAACCAACTGGTTGATCCACTATGTGAAGGCGCTATATACAAGACTGAGTTTGTTTTGGCTCCTCGAACTGATGAAGTCTTGTGGATGAAAGACGAAAGGTTTCAACAAAAGAAACCGTCCAGAGGACCTGACTTATTAACTTTGTTGGATTTTTCTACATGCGTTCTTCAGCATGAATCAGGATGTTTTTGTTTGTTTGTTTTCTACATCACACGTTATTGTTGCATTCAGAAGAAGATGTGAACATTTTTTTAGAATGCTCTGGACGTTTGTGACTATTTGATACAAGCTAGACATTCACTTCAGTACTGGTCTTTATTTGAAACTTTAGGACAATATAAATTTAGAACATGTCCTGAGCTGCCAGAGACAGTTTCAGCATTTTCATCTATCTAAGACTTCTTGTCTCATACAGAAGTAACCCTCCTCAATAATTTTTTATGTCCTGTTGGAAGTGTGTGCTGTTGTATTTCTTTTCACGCACACTCATAATATTCAATACTTCTGATCATTTTTACACTCGGACTCTTCCAAACCCAAACTGAAGACTTATTCCATAATAAGGTTACATATAGACTGATCCAAACTACACAACAACCCTATATTTTTGCTTCCTAAGTAAAAGTGATACTTTAAGAAATAACACTTGAATCAATGGTTTGTGTATAACAAAATTGTCTCAAAAATACTGTTTTGATGTAAAACTTTGACGATGCTGTTGCTAGAGTCGATTTTTAAAAGCTGTTCCGTTTTATACTTATGATATGGTATCATGTCAACCATGAGTCATAGAGCAATGTTTGTAGAGAGACAGAAGTGGTTTATAAAGAGATAAAAGGATTTATAAACATCCAACAATTTTCAGTCAGGTCATCTGGACAGTTTCTTTTTTTTGTCCTGAAATGTTTCACCTTCCATCCATGAACACTGGTTTGTTCCACTTTGGAGTAAGCTGTTGGGGAAGAATCAGTTTTGTGTTGTGTGTTTCCTTGACTGATGAAGCCTTCTGGATGGAAGATGAAACGTTTCAGCCCAAAAAAAGAAACTGTCCAGATGACCTGACTGAAAAATGTTGGATTGTATACCTGGATTATTGAGCATGGACTTTGTTGATTTATAAACATCATCTAATAATATTGGAGGATATTCAGGATATTAGAAATGACTTTACAAACAATGTTTACAAATATTTGAAAACCGCAAAAATGAATATTGCGTATTGTATCTACAGTGTTTCCCCTAGTTTACTTGCCTTGGCACGGCGCTCATATCTTCAGTTGAATTTTGTTGACGGGTGGGGGGACATGTCTGTGTTGCTCTTCTTTAGCAAGCTAAAAAGATTGTGCGTCTGTTTTGCATGCCGCTAGCTTAGCACTATGCCAGTGCTGGTAGTTGGGGGTGGGGGTGTCGATAGGCAGGGCGCTCCGTTCTGTTGACAGGGCGGGACGCCCTGCTTGGATAATGGTAGGGGAAACAGTGATCTATGTAATTTAATGAGCAGCACTCATTAGACAACTGGTGCTAAGTAAGCCCTGACCCTGGTTTAGCACTGAAACCAGTTTGATGGAAAACACATCCCCCCAATACATTTATCAACACATAAAAAAGAAACAAAGCTAAAATGCTTTGAGCTTCTCCTGTTAGGTTTAAGCTTTTATTTCAGGTCAGTGTTGATATGCATTATGATTTCTGGGTTGTTTTCTTTTTTCTACCTTCAAGACTTTAAGAACACCCTTGGGTTTGAAGTATGCCTGTCCATCAGAAAGCACCTGGAAACTGACAGTTTCATCTTTACTGAAGGTTCTGTCCATTGGATTGCCAGTTGCACGACAGCATGCCTCATCAGGGACGTTTGACACTATGTGGCCAGAGTTGGCCAATGCCTTTGAAGATTTTCTTTTCACCAAAAGGTACAGTATCCTAAAGTCTTGGTGTTTTAGACTTCAAAAGTTTTTTATTGCAGGTTATCCGTTTTCCTTTTCCAGTACTCCCCCAGATAATCTGTCAATACAAGAGTTTCAGAAGAATGAAGCCATTGATGTTGAGGTAAATAACAGCTTCAGCAGACATTCTGCTTTTTAGAAAAGGTTCTGTGACTTTCTCACTTTTTCAGCATTGTTTATTTCATTTTAGGTGGTCCAGTTGATCAGCACTGAGATTTTACCGTTTGCCAATTTCATCCCCAAAGACTTTGTTGGTCAGATTATGGCAATGCTCAATAAAGGTTCCATTCACTCCCAGTCTCCCTCTTTCACAGGTAAAATATGGCTGTTTCAGCTAAAGTCTCTGACTTTTTGTTGTCTTGAAATGTTGCTCTAACTACCAAGCCTTTCCAGTAGCTTTTCTAATAATGCTTTGTCTTTTCTTTTTTTTTTTTTTTGTTCACCAAAGTGGTTCCAATAAGATTTTCAAACCAGTGCTTTAAGAAGCACCAGTACCACCTGCTTCTAGGCCAAAATTATCAGTTTAACAACCAAAAAAGTGGTGTTAAAAGTAGCATCAATGTTTCACTGGACCAGACCACCAGATCTAAACTTTCTGTGGAACCACATTAATGGAAAAAACATCTCAGACTGTACCTTGTTTTCTCTCAACAGAGGCAGAGATAGACGTACGGATGCGCGAGGAGTTCTCAAAGGTGTGTTTTGAGACGTTGCTACAGTTTTCTTTCAGCAACAAGGTGTCCACCCCTCAGGAGGGCTACATCTCTCGAATGGCACTTTCTGTTCTCCTCAAGCGGTCCCAGGATGTTCTTAGACGCTATGTCGAGGATGAGCAGTTGAGTGGACGTTGCCCCTTACCAAGGTACATACCTTTCATCTGTCACTTGTTCCTAGATCAGGTTGCAGGGGCAGCAGCTTGAGCTGGGAAGCCCAGACATCTCTTTTCACAGCCACCTCTTCCAACTCTTCAGAGATTCAGAGAGAGTCAGAGGTTCTTTATTGTCATTCGCGGCACATGTGGTACATGTGGTGGAACAAAATTATGTACACAGGGTTCCAGTTACATCCAACAATCCTACAGCTCTTCCTGGAGGATTCCAAGGTGTTCACTGTGTTTTCCTTGGAGCCTCTTTTCAGTTGGACCTCACTAAGGAAACATCTGGGGGTTAGATGCTCAAACCACCTCAGCTGACTCCTCTTGATGTGGAGGAGCAGCAGCTCTTCTCACCCTGTCTCTAAGGAGAGCCCAGCCACTGGTGGAGAGAACTCATTTCAACCACCTGGATCCACAATTTCATTCTTTCGATCACTGCCCAAAATTTTTTGACTGTAGGTGAGAGTAGGAACATAAACCGACCCGTAGGCCAAGAGGTTCGTCTTGCAGCTTAGCTCCCTGTTCTCGTCTCACCCATCACATGGACTTTTTACTCTTCTGCCCTCTGGGAGAAGGTACCACAGCTTTCAGATCAACACAACCAGACTGATTAACGACTTCATCCCACAAGACATCACACTCCTCATCTGTAGCCTCTGAAACACACACACATACATGCACACACTCGCGGTGGACTGTGGCACACATAAGCCACATCAATCTGTCTGTCAAACTCACACCCAATTTTTACCTCGCTTGTGAACGTAACCCTAAGATACTTGAACTCCACTTGAGGCAGTACCTCACTCCGGATCAAGAGAGGACAGTCCATCCTTTAGCAACTGATAACCTTGGCCTCAGATTTGTTTGTTCACACTCTGCTGCAAACTGTTCCAGTCCTCAGGCTGATTCTGTGAGTATCAAGTTTCCCATCAGACCTCTAACATTTGATTGTTATGCACTGCTGATCGATTGTTTTAGACCACATGTGTCAAACTCAAGGCCCGCGGGCCAGATGTGGCCCGACATGTCATTTTATGTGGCCCGCGAGAGCTTAAAAGTTTTGAGTGTCTAAAAATAAATACCAAAAAAATAAATTAAGAGCGTGCTTTGACCAAAAACTACATTTCCCACAATGCCTTTCTACCTCGGTAGCCGCGGCAGTGTTTCCACATCCATGCCAACGAGTGGAATTGAGATATAAATAATGATCCCAAAATGTCCAGAAAGAGAAAAGTTGATGCAGACGGAAGACTGTTTCAAGAAAGATGGGAAGGCGAATACTTGTTTGTGCTTCAAGGAGAAAGGCCAGTATGTCTTTTGTGTTACGAGGCGGTGTCGGTTGTCAAAGAGTACAATCTGCGTCGACATTTTGACACCAAACACGGAGCTAAGTACGCTAAAGCTAGCCTTCAAGAAAAGCAACAAACTGCCCAAGAATTAAAAGGCAAACTGCGGTCGCAGCAGAGTTTGTTCACGAAATCCACAGCCAAAAACGAGGCCGCAGTGAAAGCTAGCTTCATTGTGGCTGAAGAAATCGCCCACGCTTCCAAGTCTTTTTCAGAGGGAGCGTTTTTGAAGCAGTGCATGCTGAAGGTCTGTGAGCAGGTGTGTCCCGACCAGCTACAGACTTTTAAAAATGTCAGTGTATCAAGAAACGCCATCGCGAACCGAGTGAAGGAACTAGCAGAAAATCTTCCAACACAGCTGACCGAGGAGACGCAGCTACACAGCTTTTTCATTAGCTGTTGATGAAAGCACAGATAACACAGACACAGCGCAGTTATCAATTTTTATTAGAGGCGTAAAGTCGGACCTCTCTATCACTGAGGAGCTGTTGGATGTGGCTGCAATGCATGGGACCACGACGGGACAGGACATTTTTGATGAGGTGGAGAAGTCCGTAAGTAAAAATGCATTGCAGTGGGAAAACTTGGTGGGATTAACTACAGACGGTGCACCGGCAATGTGTGGAGGAAAAGTGGGCTTGGTTGGACTAATGAAGAGGAAAATGCAAAAAATGAACGGTCACACGCCTCTGATAACGTATCATTGCATTATCCATGAAGAAGCTTTGTGTGGGAAGGTGCTGGGGATGGAGGACATTGTGACCACAGTCATGGAAACAGTGAACTTCATTAGGGCGCGTGGTCTGAATCACCGTCAGTTCCAGCTGTTTTTGCTGGAGATGGGCTCGGAACACGGGGATGTGCCGTACTATACAGAAGTGCGGTGGCTGAGTAGGAGCAAAGTCCTCAAACGATTTTTTGAGCTCAGGGAAGACATTGCTCTTTTTATGCAGAGTAAAGGAAAACTCATGTTTGAACTATCAGATCCAGAGTGGCTGTGTGACTTTGCTGTGTTGTGTGACATAACTGACCATCTCGCCCAGCTAAATCAGAAGCTGCAGGGACGCAAACAAGTCATCACGCAGATGTCCGACACGATCACGGCTTTCCAGCGTAAATTGGACTTATGGATGCGGCAAGTGAAACAGGACAATCTTGTCCACTTTCCTGTTTGTCAGAGCATGTCAGCCTCGTTTCCCGAGACGTTTTCATGTGCTCAGTTAGCTACCAAACTGAGCTGGTTAAAGACTGAGTTTGATTGGCGCTTCTCTGACTTCAGAGCACAACAGTCTGGCTTTGACATCTTTGCTAATCCTTTCACCACCGATGTCTGCACTGCACCCCAACACCTTCAGATGGAGCTAATTGAGCTTCAAAGCGACAGTGGCCTGAGAGCAAAGTTCCAGGATGCTGCAATCCAGGACTTTTACCGTCTGATGCCCCCTGGTTTGATGCCACAGCTTCAACTTCATGCTGCCCGTGTTCTGTCCATGTTTGGAAGCACCTATCTGTGCGAACAGTTTTTTTCCATAATGAATCTGAACAAAAACAAGCACAGATCACGCTTCACGGATGACAACCTCCATGCTGTTCTACGCATTGCCTCAGCACAGGACCTAAAGCCAGACATTGACACACTGGCAACGGGAAAACGGTGTCAGACATCTGGTCAGAAAAACACAGGTTAGCATTTTTTTTAAAAACTAAAATATAATAAAATGTAATTCAACCAAGAAGAAGAACAGTTAAACTGTGTGCAATTTAATGATTGTGCTTGCATTTTGTTTTGTGTTTATCATTTTCAGAACATGATCAATCGATAGTAGAGAGAGAATCCACTTTGTGTGTTCAAGGACAGGCAGCATCTCCTCATCAAAGACTAACCAAAAAACTTGAGTAATATAGTTGTGAACTGAGTCAACCTTTATTTTGTTTTTTTAGTTGATTACATATTATTTATGTATAGCTGCTGTTGTAATTATTTAATGTTTGCAGGTCTTATGTGTGTATGCAGGCAAATTGTTGTCATCAAACCATCAGTTGGATGCAAGGCTGTGTGTAGCCTTCTTTTGTAAAATGCTACATGTGTCATACATGTTCTTTGCAGCTCAGTTTTAGGATGTCTTCAAAGCTATTTGACTATTTGTTCTTTTTCTTTATTCACTTGGACAGTTTGATCCTTCATTAATGGAGTTATGTGGGTTTTCATAAGCTGACAAAATTTAAAAGGATTTATGTTAGAGCAACAAGCAAACATATGTTATCTATGCAACTGTAATTGTCACTTGAATAAGTTATAATAAATAATGAGTAATTTACATTAAGGAGTAGTTACATTTTATTTTACATTACATTACATTACATTTAGTTACATTTTTAAGTTACATCTGGCCCGTTAAGGACAGCCATTATGCTGATGTGGCCCTCGGTGAAAATTAGTTTGACACCCCTGTTTTAGACCGATGGTTCCCCTTTTTGTATGTGTCAAGCCAGTTTCTGGGAATTCCACAGCAGACTGGCTTGAAATACATCGATAAGGTGCTATTTATAAGACAGTTTTTGGTGGAAGGCCTCAGACTGACAAAGCCTTTTTAATGAAAGCGAAACGTTTCTTCCAAGAAGAATCTGTCCAGATCACATGATTCAACTCTTTGTGATTTATTTACCTGGATGATTGAGTTTACAAACCTTCTATTTTGTTTTTTTTTTGTTCTAGTGAGAGTTTGAGATTAAGGTACAACACCAAATGGAGCATGTCATCTGCAAATAGCAAAGACAAAATCCTAGAGTCACCTAACTGGATCCCATCTGCCCCCTGGCTGCACTGCTTATAAAAGTTATTAACAGAATCTGTGACAATGGGCGGGCAGCCCTGGCGATCTGAGTTTCACCCTGAAGAGGTCTGCCTTACTGCCAGCAATGCAAAACAGACTCGCACTATTTGTACAGGGACTGAATAGCCTGTACCAACAGACCCCCAATCCCATACTCATGGGTCACTTTTTGCAGGGTACTTCAGTAAACAAGATCAATGTCACTGGATTGGCAGACTGGGGTGGTGGTTCCCCTTTTCGAAAAGCGGACTTGAGGGTGTGTTCCGATTACAAAGGAATCACCCTTTCTAAGGTCTACTCAAGGGTGCTAGACAAGAGAGCCCAGTCAATGGTCAAACCGCTGTTTCAGGAGGAACAATACGGGTTCCATCCCGGCCGTCCAACACATGACTCTTGAGAAGGTCCTTGATGATATGTCTACAACAGATTACAATTTACCATGCACCCCTTGCTTTAGATCTAAATTATTTTAGGGCTGGGCAATATGGGCCAAAATTTTCTCTATATTTGTATGATGAATGGTGATAAACCATTTATATCTCAATGTTTCCCTTACCATTATTCAATCGGGGTGCCCTCCCCCGTCAACAGAACTGAGCGCACCGCCTACCGAACCCCACCCCCACCACCTGTTGACACTGATGTAACGCTAAACTATCGGCTTGCTCAGGTGCGCTAGGTAAAAAGCTAAAGGTAGCCTCTTCCATCCCGATGACACCCCCCATACACACACACACTCGAAAACTGTCAGTACAAACAGCGCACGGCTAAATGAGTTCTGACCTGTGGTTTGTCTCTGTGAAGGAGGCTGAAGTCAACAGTCGAAGCTGCAGCTTCACACATGCTTCATACTCAACTTATAGCGCTGTTTTAAATGGTCCAAAAGATTTGTGGTGCCAACATTTCATCTGGACTTGTTTATGGCATTGTCTTCGGAAAAAAAAATTCTGCTGCTCATCTGACAATTTAAATCCAAACCATCTCCATATAACAGCCACTGCAACTCTGCTCAGCCTGGATTTGCACCTGCACTTTAGGGCCGATTCTGGAGGCGTGTCCAGAATCCAAGTCCTGCTAATGAGAGTTCTGCGATGAGTCAAAGCAGTCTGCTCCTCAGATAAATAATATTAAATTATTATTTTTACATATGAATATTTCTGTTCAGTGCCCTGACACGACTTCTGTTGTGACTTGGTGCTGTATAAATAAATTAAATTGAATTAAATCTGATGAACCAGATTCTACAAAAACATTTATATTAAAATCTAAAAAAGTTTAGTCTGGTCCTCTGGACATTCAAAAAACAAAACGAAACAAAACAAATGTTGAAACGTTTCTTCTTTCATCCGAAAGTCTGAGGAGCTGTATTCAGCTCATAGCTGTTTATATAAGACTGAGCTGAATAAGCTCCTCAGACTGAAGAAGTCTTTCGGATGAAAGAAGAAACGTTTCTATATTTTTGTTTTTGTTTGTTTGTTTTTTGAACGTCCAGAGGACCAGACTTAACTTTTTTAGATTTTTCTACCTGGATTATTGAGCATGCATCAGGATATCTATATTTAAAACTCTACATTTTCTTCATCATTTGATGTATTTGTACCCATTGTGGTTTTGTTTCTTGTATACAAATTATATTTTCTTGTATACAGATTATTTTTAGTTTTGATTTAAAGCTTTAATTTAAAGTGTAATGCTTGTGTTGTGATTTGTACATCTGTGGGTTCGAATAAAGTTGAACCAAAGGCTGTGTCTCTTCTTTAAACATGTTTGAGAGAAATATTCCTGAGAGATCCAATAATTTTGTCTTTTTATGATTTTTCAGTTGAATTAACTTTAATTAACAGATTATTTAATAAAGTCAAAGGAAAAACAGGATTTCACGATAAAGCCAGCACCGTTTATTTATTTTTAATCTTCACTAATTAAAAAACTTATTTTTTATACATAAAATGTTTTTAAAAAACGTTTCCACCCCCCGTCCCTCCATCCCGGTCCTCCCACCTGCCAGGGCTCGAATCCGGCCTTTGTGAGCAGTCGAGGCCGGGGTTCGGGGTTCGGCCTCACGGGCTTCAACGGCTCGGCAGCTCGTATGATCCTCCGCGGTGACACCGCTCGCTCGAATTTTATAGTTGGTCACCAAACACAAAATACATCTGGACTTCAGAATTAAACACGGCGTTGTCATTATTGTTTTTAAATCTTAAAAATAGATCCAGCCGCTGCTCCGCATCCAGAGAAATTGCAAATGGCGGATCGGTGAAAAGTTTCAGAGATCCGGTGACTCCTCCCCCTGACCAATCAGAGTCCTGCATTCACGTTTCGGTCCGAATTCAGCTCGACTGAGCTCACTCGGTCCCACAAGAGAAGCAGGGACGAAAAGAGGTCCTGAATCAGCCTCAAATCAGCTAAATATACTAGCTAAAGTGCTGGTGCAAAAGGGTTCTTTCTGTGGCGGCCTGCCCAGAATTGGGGCTTATTAGGGGCAGTGCAAAAGGGGCTTTTTTGCTCTCACCAGCTAAGCTGCTCTTCAATATCCTCTCCTGTGTGTAAACTCCCACCCACCTGGAGAAGCAGGAAATGGGGGGAGCGGGTAAGGGGCTGTGTTTGTATTCAGTGAGGGACAATGAGGGGCTACGTGCAGTTGGCGCAGACAGGAGAAAAAGAACTACACAGATTTTCAAGTCTAATAATAGTCAATGGTTGCGATAGAGCCATTTTAACAATCATAAAATGAAAAACTTGCAATACATCGAGTATATTTGATACATCGCCCAGCCCTACGTACTGGATGTTGGGTTTTAAAGCTAGTTTACTATAGTTTGGTGACTCAGTAAAGTTGTAGGATATATGAAATCTACAAGTGTCATTAACACTCATTCATTCAGCTTCTGTCTGTTGTTCTCTTTGTTCTAACTTTTTGTGTGTTCCTTTTGAATTTCAGGCAACAAGTGACAGAGATTATCTTTGTCTTGAAAGCTATAAGCACGTTGATGGACTCACTTAAGAAGACCCATCCAGAAAATGGTGAGCAATAAAATATCCTTTAATTTAGTAAATCCTGAATTAAAGAGAGACATGATTGATATCGAAATATACACGTGCTGGTCATAAAATGAGAATATCATGAAAAAGTGTATTTATTTCAGTAATTCCATTAAAAAAGTGAAACGTATATTATATTCATTCATTACACACAGACTGATATATTTCAAATGTTTATTTCTTTTAATGTTGATGATTATAACTGACAACCAATGAAAACCTCAAACTCAGTATCCCAGAAAATTAGAATATTGTGAAAAAGTTCAGTATTGAAGACACCTGGTGCCACACTCTAATCAGCTAATTAACTCAAAACACTTGCAAAGTCCTTTAAATGGTCTCAGTCTAGTTCTGTAGCTACACATTCATGGGGAAGACTGCTGACTTGACAGTTGTCCAAAAGACGACCATTGACACCTTGCACAAGGACAGCAAGACACAAAAGGTCATTGCTAAAAAGGCTGGCTGTTCACAGAGCTCTGTGTCCAAGCACACTAATAGAGAGGCGAAGGGAAGGAAAAGATGTGGTTAAAAAAAAGTGTACAAGCAATAAGGATAACCGCACCCTGGAGAGGATTGTGAAACAAAACCCATTCCAAAATGTGGGGGAGATTCACAAATAGTGGACTGCAGCTGGAGTCAGTGCTTCAAGAACCACCACGCACAAACGTATACAAGACATGGATTTCAGCTGTCACATTCCTTGTGTTAAGCCACTCTTGAACAAGAGAAAGCATCAGAAGTGTCTCGCCTGGGCTAAAGACAAAAATTACTGAACTGCTGCTGAGTGGTCCAAAGTTATGTTCTCTGATGAAAGTAAATGTTGCATTTCCTTTGGAAATGAAGGTCCCAGAGTCTGGAGGAAGAGAGGATCATAATCTATGTTGCTTGAGGTCCAGTGTCAAGTTTTCACAGTCAGTGATGGTTTGGGGTGCCATGTCATCTGCTGGTGTTGGTCCACTGTGTTTTCTGAGGTACAAGGTCCACGCAGCCATCTACCAGGAAGTTTTAGAGACTTCATGCTTCTTGCTGCTGACCAACTTTATGGAGATGCAGATTTCATTTTCCAACAGGACTTGGCACCTGCACACAGTGCCAAAGCTACCAGTACCTGGTTTAAGGACCATGAATCTTAATTGGCCAGCAAACTCGCCTGACCTTAACCCCATAGAAAAATCTATGGGTATTGTGAAGAGACGATACGATACACCAGACCCAGCAATTCAGAAGAGCTGAAGGCCACTACCACAGCAACCTGGATTCTCATAACAGCTGAGCAGTGACACCGACTGATGGACTCCATGCCACGTTGCATTGATGCAGTAATCCAGGCAAAAGGAGCAACAGCGAAGTACTGACATGTTCATACTTTTCAGTTGGCCAACATTTTTTTATTGGTAAATGGTAAATGACTACTTATATAGCACCTTTCTATCTTATTGAGATTACTCAAAGCTCTTTACACTACAATCTGTGCCTCATTTACCCATTCATACAGCACTCTACTACATCTCTACAAAGCTAATTGAACAAATCATTCTAATGAGAATAATCAGAGCTTTATCACATTCATACACCGATGGGACACACATTGGAGGCAACTAGGGGTTTAGCGTTTTGCCCAGGGACACTTGAGCATGTGACTGCTGGTGGATTCGAACCCCCAACTCTTGCATTGGAGGACAACTGCTCTAACCACTCAGCCACACCTGCCCCCTTGGTCTTCTGAGATACTGAGTGTGGAGTTTTCATTAGTTGTCAGTTATAATCATCAACATTAAAATAAATAAACATTTGAAATATATCAGTCTGTCTGTAATGAATGAATAGAATAAACAAGTTTCACTTTTTTAATGGAATTACTGAAATAAATCAACTTTTTCATGATATTCTAATTTATGACCAGTATCTGTATATAATTATAGAGCCAGTAAATCTATGATCAGATTATTTTAGATTTGTGCCTGAGCAGAATTTCGATGTTTCGTTGTTTGTTTGTTTGATCTTTTTCAACCAGATTGTCTGAATTATCTGCAGTAAACAGGAATGAGACTTTGTCAGAAAATATTTTTATGTTCCAGTGAAGAGAATTTCATTTTATTATCCTTACTCAAAGAGAACTAATGTCCCTCTGCCTGTTGAAATTTAACTTCCTTTTACTGAGATCCATTTTTTTTTCTTGTCCCACCATCCCTCCTTCTGCAGTGGATGGAAACACGTGGGCTCAGGTGATCGCCTTGTACCCCACACTTGTAGAGTGCGTCACATGCTCCTCATCTGAGGTGAGCTCGGCCCTGAGAGAGGCCCTGGGGCCCTTTAAAGACTTTATGCAGCCACCTGTCTCCAAAGTCCAAAATGGGGAGTCCTGACCAAATTCACTCCAAACTCCTTGTTTTTAAATGAAGAAATTGAACGCCTGTATTCCGATCCTGGGTGCTTCACAAGTGCTGTGACATGAAGAAGCCCTGAACCAGGCCGGCTCAGACCATGACTGATGACTTCACACACATCAACATGTGCTTCTCATCCTCCCACCTCCATTTTCATACAGACTGGCTGCAATTGCCTGTTAATGACAGAAATTAAAGGAAAGTTGCAGTGTTGCCTCGAGGTTCTTTTTATATTCTCTAGAAGAGGCTGCATCGACGTAGTGTGTGGTGATGGTGTTGATTATGTCATTAAGAAAGAACTAAAGCAAAAAAATAAATACATCTTGGGACTTTATTGTTCTTTAAGATGAACACTGAGATTTTTGTTAACATTTTCAACCGTGAATTTCTTGTAGATTTTGGGCAAGAAAACAAGTTTTACTTTAACATTCCATGTCATCCATAGCCAGCCATCTTTGAAGGGATGATCATGTATGTATGAAATAAATGAGACAATTCAATCAGCGCTGCACCATGCCATGTGTGGTCAATGAACAGGTTATTTATGACTGCTTTGTCTGGGCCAGGTTTAGATTATCTGTATACATTTACCCTTTTGCACTAAAAATAAAGAGCAGTTATTGCACAAAAGTAAATTCTGACGAGATCCTATGAGCTATACAACAATCTAACATTTAAAACCTAGTTTTCCTTAAAACAGTGCCTATTGCCTGCTGCTATTCATGCCAAAGTTTTAGACAATTCAGGTCAGTTTATTTATAAAGTGCCGAATCACAACAGAAGTCATCTCAGGGCAATAACACAAACATTCATATACAAGTACATAAAAAGTAAGTTAATAATGCTAATTATCTGAGGAGCAGACTACTTTGAGTCTTCATTTTGCCAAAATCTCACATCCTGTGCAAGCCTGAAGGCGACAGTGGAAAGGAAAAACTCCCTCATGAGGAAGAAACCTTTAGCAGAACCAGGCTCAGGACAAGCGTCTATCTGCTTCGACCGGCTGGGTTTGGTAGGAACAGATACACAATGGCAGGTCAAGAATCACGTTAAGATAGAAATAATATCAAATGAAAACTATTCAGTTGATGAAGTGTGGTCAGCTTGTCCTCCAGTAGTCTAAGCCTATAGCAGTATAACAAGCCAACCCCAACTATAGGATTGATCAAAAAGTGTCTTAAGCCCAGTATTAAAACTGGACAATATGTCAGCCTCACGGACAGAAACTGGAAGTTAGTTCCACAAGAGATATACCTGATGTTCTCGTCGCACTGTTTTCACTCCTCCTGATGATCCGGCGTCTCTTCTCCGGTGGTTTATTGTAGTCCAGACACAAACTAGGATGCAGGTTTTCCTCCATCAACTGTTTTTCAACAAAGTGAAATGAGCTCACATTGTTTTGGGCGGTCTCTTCAAGTTCACATTTTTCAGCCACATTCTTCTTAATTCCTCATCTGCAGGTAGGAGATGAAACTAAACCTCTTTTCACAGGAACATTCTTTTTGTTTTGGGTCTGTGTTCAAACTCTGTTGTAGCCACTGATTTAGTTTGGTCTGGTTGTTCTGCAGCCGCGAACACAACGGGTACCCGAACTCCACAAGACCACTTTAGTAAACTTTATGGTTGTTAAATAAATGTGAACAAAACAAAAAAAGCATTTTATCTGTTAAACTGAACGCCAATTACTTTCAAATAAACTGCGGTCCGTGCTCCACTACCATGGTTAACCAATGCTTACTGCTACTTCCTGTCTGACAGGAAGTGGTACCCATTATCATTTAGACAGCAGAACCCCCAGGAACAAAGTGGATCATTTAAATAAGATCTTTGCAAGTGCAAATAACCACAACAGCAGCTAGCTGTAGCACTTTCCAGCAGGAATTTTATATTCCTGTCCAAAGAACTGGGTAATGTAAAAATGCGTGAAGCTTTTTACAACGATGTTTGCATGAATCCCTATGAAATTTTGAGATGACAAGAATCCACTGCAGTCCTCGCCCCACCAGAACTAGCTGTTAGCTTGTCATGCTGGTTAGAATTGAACTTCTCAAAGCTGAGGTCATTCAAAGCACTATCTGTAACAGGTAAAATAACTATCTTTTCACAGAACTATCAAAAGACCTGAGAATTGGAATCTTGAAATTAATGCAGGGTGCTTTTGTAATTATCTTCAACTGTATTGTTTTAACTTCTGCTGCCATCGACATGCTGACCTTTGGAGTGAAATTCTTCCACGAGTTGGATCGCGACCCGACCTGTCAATCAATCCAGTAGGCGTGTCGGCAAATGACCAATCCGAAGCTAAATGCTCCTTACCTGCAGAGCTGCATTGCAGCCAATCAAAGCGGACCACCTTACTGTGAGCAGGCTCAAAGTCCTGACACCGATAATAATCTGATGCTGATGCGCAAACAAATGAAGTATCTCCTTGTGTATAAAACGAATACCAAAGTATAACTTAAGATGCTCAACATTCTTGATTTCACCACAGTTAAAATATGGTAAACCCTGCTTTATTGTGTCGGAGTTCGGATAATATTACGACTCACTTAGCTTCGGATTGATCATTTGCTGACATGCCTACTGGACTGATTGACAGGTCACGTTGTGGATCCGACTCGTGGAAAAAATAAAATAAAATAACAAGTCTCATACAACTTTATTCTCATGACATTAAAACTTTATTTGACTTTATTCTTGTAATATTAGGTTTTTATTCTCATAATTTTATGGCATTTTTTTCTTAGCATGGTCCTAAAGCTCTGCCGTAATTGAACATAGGGCAACTGTGGCTGAGTGGTTAGAGCAGTCGTCCACCAATGGAAGAGTTGGGGGTTCGAATCCACCAGCAGTCACATGTCACAGGGTCCCTGGGCAAGACATTGAACCCCTCATTGCCTCCGATGTGTGTCCGATTGGTGTATGAATGTGATAAAGCTCTGACTAGTCTCTTTAGAATACATTGTTCAATTAGCATTGTAGAGATCTAAAAGAGTGCTGTGTGAATAGGTAAATGAGGCACAAATTGTCGTGTAAAGTACTTTGAGTATCTTGATCAGATAGAATTGTGCTATATAAGTACAGTCCATTTACCACATATATATATATTTATATATATATATTGTATATATATATGTATATATATGTATATGTATGTATATGTACAAACCGGATTCCAAAAAAGTTGGGACACTAAACAAATTGTGAATAAAAACTGAATGCAATGATGTGGAGGTGCCAACATCTAATATTTTATTCAGAGTAGAACACAAATCACAGATCAAAAGTTTAAACAGAGAATGTATCATTTTAAGGGAAAAATCTGTTTCCAAATTTCATGGCGTCAACAAATCCCAAAACAGTTGGGACAAGTCCATTTTTCCCACTGTGTGGCATCCCCCCTTCTTCTTACAACACTCAACAGACGTCTGGGGACAGAGGAGACCAGTTTCTGAAGTTTAGAAATAGGAATGCTCTCCCATTCATGTCTAATACAGGCCTCTAACTGTTCAATCGTCTTGGGCCTTCTTTGTCGCACCTTCCTCTTTATGATGCGCCAAATGTTCTCTATAGGTGAAAGATCTGGACTGCAGGCTGGCCATTTCAGTACCCGGATCCTTCTCCTACGTAGCCATGATGTTGTGATTGCTGCAGAATGTGGTCTGGCATTATCGTGTTGAAAAATGCAGGGTGTTCCCTGAAAGAGATGATGTCTAGATGGGAGCATATGTTGTTCTAGAACCTGAACATAGTTCTCTGCATTAATGGTGCCTTTCCAGACATGCAAGCTGCCCATGCCACAAGCGCTCATGCAACCCCATACCATCAGTGATGCAGGCTTCTGAACGGAGCGTTGATAACAACTTGGGCTATCCTTGTCCTCTCTGGTCCGGATGACATGGCATCCCAGTGTTCCATAAAGAACTTCAAATCGTGACTCATCTGACCGCAGAACAGTCTTCCATTTTGCCACACTCCATTTGAAATGACCCCTGGCCCAGTGCAAACGTCTGAGCTTGTTGAGCTTTCTTAGAAATGGCTTCCTCTTTGCAGTGTAGAGTTTCAGCTGGCAACGGCGGATGGCACGGTGGATTGTGTTCACTGACAATGCTTTCTGAAAGTATTCCTGAGCCCATTCTGTTATTTCCTTGACAGTGGCATTCATGTTTGAGGTGCAGTGACGTTTAAGGGCCCGGAGATCACGAGCATCCAGTAGAGTTTTACGGCCTTGACCCTTAAGCACAGTGATTGTTCCAGATTCTCTGAATCTTTAGATGATGTTAAGCACGATTGATGATGATAACTTAAGTCTTTGCTATTTTACGCTGGGTAACACCATTCTGGTATTGCTGCACTATCTTTCTGTGCAACAAAGGTTGAATTGGTGATCCTCTTACCATCTTGGCTTCTGAGAGACACTGACACTCTGAGAAGTTCCATTTGTACCCAATCATGTTGTCAATTGACCTAATTAGTGTTAATTGGTCTTCCAGCTGTTCGTTATATGGTCAATTTCCTTTACCAGCCACTTATTGCTACTTGTCTCAACTTTTTTGCGATTTGTTGACGCCGTTATCAGAAAACAGTAAAAGCTGCTAAATCAAAATTCTTCTCAGATAAAATTACCTCAAACTTTCACAACCCACGTGTCCTCTTCTCCACCCTAAACTCTGTTCTCCACCTCACTGAACCATCACCTCTGGAAGCCTCGACTGAGCTGTGCGACAACTTCTTACATTTCTTTTTGAAAAAAATTGCGACCACCAGGGCTCTCATTTCCCCTCCAACTCATGACCCATCCATCCCACCTCAATCTGTAGATCCTTTTGACCATTTTGAACCCATCACTCTTATCTTCTCTAGAGCAGGTCATGTGCAACTTGAAACTTTCTGGCTCCCCCTTTGATGTGGTCCCCCCTTGACTACTAAAGGAGGTGTTTCCAACTCCTGGTCCGTCCATTCTTGATATAGTAAACAGTAGTTTATCCAATGGCATGGTGCCAAAATCCTTTAAACATGCTGCCGTCCAGCCTCTCCTGAAAAAACCAAACCTTGACCCCTCAGTCGTTTCCAACTACCGGCCTGTCTCCAAACTCCCATTTGTTTCTAAAGTACTGGAGAAAATATCCTGATGCATGCTCAATAATCCAGGTAGAAAAATCCAAAAAAGTTCAATCTGGTCCTCTGGACATTCAAAAAAAACAAAAACAAAGCAAAATATCTAGAAACGTTTCGTCTCTCATCCAAGAGACTTCCTCAGTCTGAGGTGCTGTTTTCAGCTCAGTCTCTTAAATAGCACCTTCTCAGGGTAGATCAACCAGTTTGCTGCTGACAACCAAAACCAGCTGATCACATGCTCAAGAAGGACCATCAGCCTAACAATGGGTCATTAGCACACTGATGGCTGTTTACTACTCACAGAGGGCTGAGTGATACTAGCAATCACAGCATTGTAAGAGTTGGACAGTTGAACCCGGAGGCCTCCACCCCTCTTTAATGATGGACGGTTTCTTTTCACAAAGATGGCCTCCTTTACTCCTCTCTCAAACCATCGTTCCTCTCTGTCCAGGATGTGAACATCTTCATCCTTGAAAGAGTGACCGCTGGCCTGGAGATGAGTGTAGACCGCAGAATCCT